CTTTTGGGTCTGGAAGCTTCATGGCTTCCAGACTCAAGCCATCCTGCTGGGTCTGCTCCAAGTGCAGAAAGGAGGATAAGTGTGTGGCCATGGGCAGGCAACAGTGATGGTGCCACTGTTCTGTTCTTCTTTTGTTCGTTTTCTCTTTGGGTTTTTTTTTTTCATGGCTTGGAATTGAACATAGGATCCTAAAACTGTTGAGCAAGTGCTCTACCATTGAACTACATCCCAGAGCTCCACTGACTTTACCATATGCCCCATGGATCTCACCCAAGAAAGGTGGCTCTGTCTATCAGACACGCAGCTGCAATGGTCCCCCTCACACGGTTTTATTCTTGAAGTTGTCATCAGGCTTGTCTTTATCATGATCACACATGTAGATAGCTAAATCATCAACTACAAACTATTAGGATGTTTAATGCATTAAACAAAAGTACAGTATACAAGATTCATATGTAAAAATTCAGCTAATGTACTATATGACTACAATGAAATATTTTCATAAAAATATAATATTTGAAAAGATAAATATTTGCATTCGCCAAAGTCCATATGAGATACTGGAATGAATCTAGCAGAAGATGTGTAACATTAGCAAACAACATTCACATGAGTCTACAGTAATTGCAGAGAAATTGGAAAGATATTGCCAGTTATTCTCCATGGAGTGATCCTTAAAACCAGTGCACTCCTAATAAGATTCCCAAAAGGAAGTTTCTTGAATGAGAAGCTAACAGATGCTACAAGGACCTGAGGTCTACAGCCCAGCCAGCACAAGGCTACCCTGATGTCACAGTTCTGTGTGAGGGGACAATGAGGATGGCCTGAGTCCATGCAGGGCTGGGAAGGGGAACATGTGGGACAGCAGTGGGCCCAGAAAGATGTGGCCCAGACCCACATGGTTTGCTGCATATGGCTTCAAATACAATCCCAAACATGGAAAGCTGATTATCCATAAGGAAAACTATCAGCTCAGCATGGAGCTCTATCTGTCCTCAGACATGAAATTCAGTACACTAAGGTCCACACAGGAGAAGCAAGGCTGCAAATAAATAAATAAATAAATAAAGACCAGAACTTTAAGGCACCAAACAATATTCATGTAACTTAGAAAAAAAAAACACAGTGCCATTGATAAGACTGATAAACTCTATTACTTTGGAATGACACGTCCATTGGTAGACATACAAACTTGAAATCTTAAGCCAAGAAATGGGAGAATCTATTTATGTTACCTATGACACACAAAGCCTGTGTTCAGAACACGGCAAAGATGTTTGCACATCAATAAGGAAAAGCATTGCAGGGCTGGGGCTGGAGCGCAGAGGTACAGGGCTTTTCCAGCATGGGTAGGGCCCTACATTCCTCATCCAGAACAGCTGTCTACTAGTGGATTTCTGTTCACTTAGGGGTAAGATCAAAACAGTGGTATTTCTTAAGCTTCAGCCTACTTTTGTTTGTTTGTTTGTTATTTTATTTTCTGAGACAGGGTCTTGCTGTTCAGTTCATTCTGGTCCTGAACCTTCTATGTAGCCTAGCTGGCCTTGAACTCTCCATGATCCTCTTGCCTCAGCCTCTCCAGTTCTGTGGTAATAGATGTGTCTCACCACACCCTGTAGCATAGCAGCTTTCCTGCATTTGGGAATATTCTAGGTGCCGCTTGCTATTACAAGGTTCCTTGTTTTTCCACAGAGAGCAAGAAAACAAGGGGAGATGGATTTGTGAACAACAATATAGGAAGCCAAGTAGCCTAATTGACAAATTTGGAATTTAATTCACTGAGCTCACAACCACTTGTATACAGAGCCCCTACCCCTGGTTCTGGACCCAAACAAGTGGCCCCAAACTGGAAAGAAACAGAGTTTTAAAAAAAGAGAACCACAAAAGACATCCTGCTGGAAACTATTTGGCTCGAATCTTTCATTAATTTTCAGTTGACACCTGTATCCTGCTTCTTTCGTTGAGCAGGTTAATTTTTCTCCTGTAGCTACAGTGCATTCTGCTTTCTCATGGGACTTTATACCCTGAGTAATTTGCTATTTTTCTGAGTCAAATACAGGGCACTAGTTAAATGCATCAGTTAAGCCAAGCCACAACAAAGTGAGGGTGCATTTCATAGGTTGTTGATAAGTGAGAGTGGGGGAAACACACATCTTCTCTCTCAGTGGGCAATCATCATGGATTAAGGCTGTAGACCTTGGCTCTTATCTCCATCAGGGACCCTGTCTGCTTCATTAAGAGAACACATAGGTGGAGGGGTGGCATAAGTACACATTATACTTTCACAGAGTGACAGGTAAAGGACCTAGTGTGCCTCCATGCTCTGTCTCTTGTTGGGGCATTTTTAGTTATTTGTCTAGTTTATTTTTGAAGAGACAGAAATGAAGGCATCCTGATTTAATAATGCTCTTGAGTTTTTAGGTCCATAAACTTGGGTGGGAAAATGACCATCAGGGAAGACCTCATAGCACACTCTGCTGGGAAACTGGCCCTGAGCTAAGGCTCCAGAGCAGGCACCTGCCCTTTGTTCCTTTGTCCCTGATCACCTGAGCACCCCTCAGGGTGATGGACGAAGACAAGCAGAACACACAGCATGCTCTAGGCGCTCTGAGACACAGGAAAGGGCAGGGTCACCATGGAGCACTGAGTGATCAAGCATTGACAGCGTGTGGCTAAGATGTGGAGAACGGGCACTCGGGGCATAGCAAAAACTGCCTTACTGTCAAAGCTGTGCCCCCACCGATGCCAGGGATGGGGAGCACTTTTTTTTTTTTGACAGTTTCTGAACTGATTTCCCAGGAAACAGAAGAACCTATAGTGATGCTTTTATGTGAAGAGAAGAGCCTCACTGCAGGTGTTGAAAACATTTTTGGTGCTGAGGACCAAACTCCAGGGTCTCATGGCAGGCAAATGCTCTACCCCTGAGGTAAATGCCCAAACTCCAAAGGTTTTTTCTTTATTTGGTTGAGGTTTTTTGGTTTTGTTTTGGTGTTTTATTGTTGCTGATGTTTTGTTTTCTTCTTTGGTGTCTTGTGTGGTTTTAGAAGTGCATCTTTCTAGGTATTTCAGTGATCTTGAACTGTGAAGCCCAGACTTGCATGGAACACTTAGCAAGCCTCCTTCTGCAGTCTCAATCCCGGACCCCAGCCTGGATGCTGCCTCTGACACCAAGACCCCTGACACCAAGACCCCAGCCCCCAGGACCCCAAGATCGGGCCCCACTGTCCACTGCCCTGCTGTCTGGACTTCTAGCCTCCCTGGCACCCGGGTCCCCTGTCCCCCAAACCCGGCTTGCCTAGTCATGCACACAGGCCCAAAATCTAGCTCCCTGGGTCAAGGAACCCAGCCCTGCGAACCTGGCACCTGCCCCGATTCTGCCTCCCCCACACCTCCTGGCCCCTTGTACCAGGACCCTTGTACCCAACCCCTGAAACCTCCCACCCACAGTGCACCCAGCTCTGACTTCTGGCCCCAGAAACCTGGCCCTGGGCTCCTCACATCACCCCCTCCTGTCCTCCTGCCCTTCCCCTTGAATCCTCATCCCCTGAACCATTCCTGGCCTGAGGCCCCCAAACCCCTAGCCTACTGAAACCAACTCTGTGCCCCAACCCTGGGACTCGGTGCCCTGGGGCCCCAGGCCCAGCCTTAGCACCTCACTTCTGGCTCTGGCACCCTACTACAAGGGCTTCTTGGCACCCCAGTACACCACAGCAGCGCCTTGGAGCACACATGGCAGGGCCCTGGCCCATGGGACCTTGGCTTTCTACCACCCTGGCCCTGGTCTCAGCCCTGGTCACCCAGCCCATGAACCGGCCCCCTGGCCTCCAACACCTACACCCAGCCCCCGGCCCCACCACCCTGTCCCCGGCCCCTGGCCTCCAACACCTACACCCATGCCCTAGTCCCCAAGTCCCCAACTCAACCCCAGCTCCCAGAGCCCCCAACCTTCTGGCCTGTGGGCCCCTGAATCAGGCCAGGGCTCTGACCCAATCCCCCAAGCTCCCTGGTCCCAGTACACCAGACCCCAGCCCCAGTCCCTGGCCCCTCAGTGCCCCAAACCCTGGATCCAGGAGCCCCAGTCCATGGCCATGGGACCTGGTACCTCCCCAAATCTGGCCCCAGCCCCTGACCCTGCACCCCAGCCTCAGGTACCTGGGTCCTCTAGGCCCCAAACCCAAATGCCAGTCTCCCAAAGTAGCTGCAGGACCACTACCACTTCCCCATCCCCCCTCCATCCTCCACCCTCCCAAAACCTTCCCCACCACCTAAATTCCAGGACCCTGTCCTGGAACCAAGGCCCTCTCCCTGGACCAACAGAAACTGCCTGGCCCTGACATTGGCCCCCTGGCTCTGAACCCAGTCACAGCACAGGCCCAAGCCTCTGCTCTCCCCACACCCGCCCACACCCAACACCCCTGGTGCAAAAGTCCAGGGCCCTGGCCTCCACCCTTGGTCTCCCTGGACCCAGTTCTGGCTCAGGCCCCATACCAGAGACCACCTGGCCACCTCGCTCCTATTACAGGCCCCTGGTCCCTGGGCACAAGCTCTCAGCTTCAGCACTCCAACACTGGCAATGGGACTCAGAAGCTGGACCCTAGACCGGACCAGGGTTCCATTCCCCCCACCCCAGGCCGCTGGCTTCCCTAGCCTCGGCCCTGGCCACCCCCCAATCTGGTCCCACAACTCGGGCCCTAGGTAATGACCCCAGGTCTTGGCAACCTGGCCTTGCGACTCAGGTCCAGGCCTTCGGGACCCCGCACCAGGACCCCTGGCCTCTTCCTCCCTCTCTCTCCCTACTCCTTTCCCTTACTTCCTGCTCCAACAAGTAACACTAGTCCCCTTCCCCCCACCTACCCACCGAGGCGTCAGGGCAGCCTCCTAGGCAGGCTAGGGCAGGAAGCAGAGCCCTGCGGTGTAGCTCAAGGCGGGCCTAGGGCGGGGATAGGGGCGGGGATAAGGGCGGACCTAGTTAAAAAGACTGGTAGTGCCCTCCCAGACGGACTTTGCATCCTGTCTTCACCAAGTACTGGTCTTCACCAAGTACTGGTCGGCTCCCAGAGCTGCGGCCCACTGTACGGTGAGGACCTACACCCAGCATCTATGGTCGGACCCTCTGCTGAGCACTGCCCGGTTCCGAAGGGCTGGACCTTGCTGCGCGCTTTGTGCCTGTTTGTCCTGTTGGAGCAGGTACTCACGGTGAGCACGGCTGGGGTTCCGGTGGGGAACCCGACAGGAGCCTCCGAGAGGGAAAAGGCAGCGACCTGGCTGAGCGCTCGGCGCCTCCCAGACCGGGTTTGCATCCGCGATCCGGGCCACAGCGGACGCCCGGGGCTCCCTCCCCGCAGCCGGCAGCACCCCCCCCCCCCGAGCCCAGCCCGGAGCGCGCGGAGGAGGAGCTGTGGCCGGAGCCCACTCTGCTGTGCAGGGTCCCTTGAACAACCGCGACAGCGCCCGGGCCTCTGGGGATGGCTTGCACGGGGCGCCTGAGTGTAAGCCTCGGTGGGACGGAACCGGCGGACACTTCCCGCGGCCGGGTCGGGACCACATGGGAATTCCCCGGGAACAAATGGGGAGCGGGGCGAGAGGGCGCTGGCCTGTTTAGTTTTCAGTCCTGCTTTTCATGAGCAAATGCTTGAACAGGACTTGCCAAAAAAAAAAAAAAAAAAAAAAAGCGACAAAATGTATTTGAATGGGACTCTGCACCGGAAACCGCTAGGCGTAAACCTGAATCCCAGAAAACCGCGAACACAGGAGGGAACACAGCGGGCACTGTCGTGGAGACAGGAGAGCCAGCTCTTGGGGTGTCCAGTCTCTGTATCTCCCATACCTCCCTGGAACCCGGAGAAGTTTTACTATGCCATCCTGAGACTTATTTGGCGCGTATCTTGATATCCTGGAATGAAGAAGTCTGCCTTATTCCCCAGCCAGCTGTGCCAGACCCTGCACCACCTTGCCCTACCAAGGGATGCCCTTAGCTAACAGTAGCCTAGTTTGGGGAGAGAACATTGATATTTTCTCTCATTGTATCAAAGGTTGACCATGCCTGTTTTTATGTTTGCTGTCCTGAGAATCTCAGAGTGTGCACTGATTTGATGGAAGCATCCTGCAGGTCTCTTAGGCTCGGTGCCCTTTTTCTCTTTAGCCATGTTTCTCTGTACTCCACAGAATTGTCGATTGTTTATTCCTATTTTCAGGCTCGCTGGGTTTTTCTTCTGTCCTTTGAAACCTGCCTAGTAAATTGCTCATTTCACATATTGTACTGTTCATCTCCAGGATGTCTGTCTTTCTTTTCATATTTCTTCTTGGGTTTGATATTTTCATTTTACTGATACATCATGTCCCTGCAGACTTTATATGTCTCACTTTGGCTTTCTGATCACAAGTATTGGAGCCTCTCTAGTAAGCCTGTGGTCTGCTGTCTTTTTGTTGAATGAGTTGTATCTTCCGGTTCCTTTCTATGCCGATGATGTTGTTGTTACTCTTATTGTTCTTGGTGTTGTTGTTTAAAGCTGGACATCTGAATCTTGTACTACTTAAACTGGAGTCAATGCTTCATTCTTTCGGTTTTTGTTTTGTTTATATTTTTCTTTTTGTCTTTTGGCCAGGTATCTTTGTTTCAGGGATCAGCCTGCAACATCAATTTATGTGCTTCTTGGATGGTTTCTGGGCCATCACTACCCCTGAGGATGCATGATAATTTCCAGAATCTTCTGTTTATGCACATGCATTTCAAGGTTATAACCCTTGAGTACCTGGCCCCAGATGGAGAAAGGAAAAATAACAGGGAAAGGAGCACAGGCCTTGATTCTTTATAATCCTCATTATCAGCTGCAGCTGGTGACAGCTATCACAGCTACTCCTCTGCTGTATTTCTGCTCCTCCATGGTGAGAAGCAGCCATTGCTGATCACTAAATAGAGCATTAAATTGGGATGATAGTTTGAAACTTTAACAAATCGGCCACCTCAACTCTCATCTTTTCCTAGGGCACATATACATGACTGGCTGCCAGGAGGGAAGATAGGTACCTATTAACGTGTAAAGTGCCAACCTAGACTAGAATTCACTGCGATTTATTAACTCAGCCTTCTTGGGAAGCAGCAAGCAGTAAGGCTCCTCGCATGCTCAGCTCAGAGAGCTCCTGCTCATAATGATTATTGTTAGGAGAGGAGAGGAGAGCACTGCCTACTGCTTCCTTGTTCACCACTGCTTCATAATATTGCTTCTAGACGAATCATTACCAATAGGGGTAGGCTGCTAGTTAGACATTTCTTGTGATTTCATCCGGAAGATAATCACCATAACTGAGTCAATTTACAAACAGACCCTACAGTACTCTGGCCTGGAGTCCTGTAACAGTGATGAATACATGAATGCTGGCCGCTGCTGCAAGATGTGCCCTGCAGGTGAGTCCTGGCATGTGGGTTTGGGTGGCCACTGGAGCAGAGCAGAGGCTGCACTAGATAGGGTGTGTGAGGAGCAGGGACTGCGCTCACCTGCTGGCTACTCTTTAGGACCCTAGACAGGTGTCTCTTGTCCTATGTGAGGAGGACCCCTTGTATGTACCTCAGCCTCTGTGTATCTCTCTGTATTGAGAGGGCCTGGTGTGTCCAGCAATTCCAGCTGGGTTAGGGTCACCCCCCATGGTGAGCACTGAATCCCAAAGAGGGTGCAGGTAGGTTCATGGAGGAGAACTGGAGGGACAGCTTCACAGGGATGCCCCCAGAGGAGCTGGCCACTTAATCATGTCTAGATGCCTGTTACTTCCAGATATCAGTTTGAACTTAAACTCTAAAGCATCAGCATTGCTGTTGACTCATTAGAGGCCTGAACCCCCAGGGATTGGGTAGAGCATAGCACAGCCCAGTATCCAGGTGGGCCCCTGTGAGGACTCACCTCTGCCCAACCGCTTCTACAGGTCAGTATGTAGAGAAGCCCTGCATGAGACCCCACACCCAGGGAGTGTGTGTAAAGTGTGAGCCGGGGACATACACAGCATATGCCAACGGCCTGGAGTCTTGCCTCCTCTGCTCCACCTGCCGGGCTGGTGAGTTCCAGGGATTTGGCCATGGCACCTGCACCCCTACACCCTGCAGTGCTCTTACTGACAATGGGCTCTAAAGCAGGACTTGAAGCTGAGCTTCTGATATTTAGATGTTCTGCGTTTATCTTTGAAAACATAGAGAAAATAGAGAATAGCCATTCATCCAGCATTCGGAGGAAGCAGTTGCAAACTGATGGTGTAACAAAGCAGTGCGCGACTTTTCATTGGCCTAAAAACTGTTCCTTACGTATTGTCAGAGTGAGAACAATGTGAATACAGCCTTAATCCCAAAGGATTAAGGACATCAGACCCAAAGGAAAGCATTTCCTTGAGATTTTTGTTATTTCTTCTCACCGCAAATAGCCAGTTCAATCTAGAAGCTCAAAATACATGGTGAAACAAGAAGAAGCTCCATTCCTAGGCAATGAGCAGTTCTGGATTAGGAAAGTTGTCAAACATGTAGGAAAGCTGAAAGAATAGAAGCAGGTGGCTACCACAGAAATTTTTTTGAACTGAGGTTTCACTGTACAGTTCAGAATGATTTTAAACTGACTTTGTATGTAGCCTAAGCTGGCCTTGAACTCCCTGCAATCCTCCTGCTTCAGCCTCCCAAGTGCTGGGATTCCAGGTGTGCCCCACCACGCTTGGCTTCCCATAGATCTTCAGCTTGAGATTAAACAAGACCTCAGTGCACCTGCTTTGATAGATTAAGCTGTGTACAGGGGACACACTGTGTTCCCGTTTCTAGTAATTACACTGTCATGGGCATGGGTGAGGTCAGGGCTTCCACCTTGAGCTGACCCCAGTGTCCCTTGGACTGCAGACCAAGAAGTGGTGCGAAAATGCTCCCCAACCAATGACCAGAAATGCGAGTGCAAACAGGGCTACTTCTCTGAGGACACTGGGTGTTTGGAACACTGCACGCCATGTGATAAGTATGTGGACATGGGTTGGAGGGGGCATGACAGGGTGTTCTACTTTACCAGCTGACAATCAGCAGGTCTGTGGGGACCTCCAGCAGTCAGTTCAGTCTGCAGTAGCCCAGAGAGATGGCTCCCACGCGGCCAGAAGCTTCTCTGATCTTTTCTCCCCAGAAGGCAGCCAAACGAATCACAGCCCAGGCAATTGCTATTTGCACACCTTCTTTTTACCTGAGTTCTTTATGCTGTGATTTTCTGATTGGCCTTTGGCTCTCTGATGTGTTCCTTGGCCCTTTCATGCCTCCACTTTCTCCACATCTCCATGACTCTCCTGCTCTCTGTCATGGCCACTCATTCCTCACGGTCCCTTCGGGTTTCCTTTATACTAATCAGCTTCCAGCTGTCAGGTGCAGACTTGCTGTCCTCTCCTAGCTCATCATCTTCTTGGTTTTCTTCCTCTTCTGCACATAACGCCCTGTGAAAGGATGCTGGACTTGGCTTTGCAGCACTGTCTAATGGAAGGCCTCATTCTCCACTCACCATTCTCTGATGGGCTGCAGTGTGGCCCCCGTAACAACGGAGTCTTCACATCAGGGTCCTCGGGCCACCAGGGTGCTGAGGAGCTGCCTGATGCCTCTCTCTGTCCCATGAGTGCTGTTCTGTACGCTATGGAGTAGCACACAGGAACAGGAGTCACCTGGCAACATCCAAGGCTGGCTTCTGTCAAAAGGAAGCAAAGCAACAGCCTGAGCAAGGACTTAGGGTCCCTAAGGGGTGTTTGTCTTAGCAATTTCTCCAGTGTTTCTTACCGTGAGTTCATGGTGTAAGAAGAAGCCTCATTCATTGCTGGGAGAGTTGGCACACCCAGAAGATGAGCAAGGCATAGCAAAGAAGGAAGAAGAGCCAAGGAAGAAGGTCAGGCATGATTTGTAGATAAATGGATGACGTTCACCACACTGTGAAATGCAGAGTTTAAAGCTGTGAAGGAAGTCAGCAAGTAACAGATCCCCTTCATCCAGGCCGAGCTAGTACTAATGTTTACCAGCATGAGCAACAGGCCTGCAGGTTGCAGTGACTAGGAGGGAACCCTGAGACCCTGACGCTCTGATAAAATAAAAGGACAGGTTCATTTTTGCTTCTGTGCATGGGCCACCAGTGGGGCGGCCATATTCATAGAAGAGGAAAGTTGGTCAGCTTTAGGGCATTAGCGCCCAAATGCCTTGTGAAGATTGTGATCAGGCTGGGAATAGTAGGAATGGAGGGGAAGGTTCCTGTCTCTTACTAAGAGGGGTGGGCAGGCACCAAAAGAGGCAGAGCCTCCTTCTGCTGGTGATGACAGGGATAAGCTCCAGGTGGATGGAACTGAGTGAGGGAGTCTCTCTCTAGGTGTCCTGATGAGACTGCAGTCCTGCGGGAATGCAATGCCACATCAAACACAGTCTGCAGAGCAGCCCATTCAGGTAAGAGGGTTACTATATTATTTTTAACCTGGCTGTTTTATACTGAGGTAAAGTTTACTGAGATGAAATTAACCATATTGTTTTTCTGCTCTTCCTCGTTGTTCACATTGGTAACATGGGGTTATCAGGTTTCATATTTATAGATTTGTATATATGTTTAACATGGTGTGATCATTTCCCCCTTATCCCACCCTCCTAAAATCAATCCTTTAAAAGTTAATGTGTTAAGCTTACTTGACATCACCTTCCTCTTCTAATTCCAAAACATGCCCATCTCCCCAAAATGGAGTCCCCACCCCTCCTCAGCTGTGACGCCACAGCCCATGAGCCTCTACTCCTCAGCTTTCTATCTCAATAGGTCGGGCTGTGCCAGGCGTTGTGTGTCAGTGGCCTCAGAACCTTTGTGACCCTTTAGGGTTGGCTGCATTCACTGAACATCACAGTTTTGAGGTTCACCCAAGTTACAGAGTTAGTTACTGCTTCATTCCTTATGGCTGAATAAGCAATCGCACTGCGTTTATGTTTTTATATTTGTTACCTGTGTTTTAAACTGTTCTCCATGGGACATAGACCTTTGAGTCCAAGTCATTTAACGCGTTCAGGACTGTCTTTTCAACAAATGATTCTGGAAAACCAGACACTCACTTGGACCCTCATTACATACCATGAACAAAAGTTCATTCGAGATAAACTAAAAGCCTAAGACCTTAAAGCATGTCCTAAACCTGTAAATTCTTAGAACTAGGGGACACTTTCATGCCATTGGACTTGGCACTGATTTCTGATACTACAACAAAAGCATTGACCAAGAAGGAAAAATAGACAAAGAAGACTGAAAATGTCTAAAAAGCTTCTAAATACAGAGGTCACAGGCCTAGCATGGACGGCTGACAAACCATTTCATCCAATAGTCGGGCCAGGAGGCTGTGTGAAGCTGCCACCTGCCCTCAGGGGTGGGAGCCAGGCAGCCTCCCCACATCCCCACCTGTGCGCAGCTTGCTCCCCTTGAGGCTGCTGGATTTACAAGGCCACAGAACAGGGATGCTGGTTTGCTCTTATAATGGGACTAGGAGAGAAATTTGATTTCCTGCTCTTATCAAGACATTTTCTGTTTCTCAGTTTTAGAAAAGAGAAACCGGTTGTATACGTTCCTGTGCATCATACCTCTCCTGGGAAGTATAGCCTTCTTCTGTTTCCTTATGAAACGGAGACCCTGGGTGCATACTAGTCTGTCTAACAGCAGAACTAATAGTAACAGCTCCTTGAGAAAAGCAGCAAGTGTCCAGGTTGGAGGTAGGTTGTGTGGGGTCAGATTCAAAGTGGGATTGTCCTTTTCCTCCTTAGTACACTGTGGTCACAGGAGAGAGTTCTCCTCCCTTAGGACAATGTCTGAAGGAAACTGAGGCCACCAGAGACCACAGCTCTATAGCACCTAAGGTTTGCTTGATGGCAGATAGGTCTCTGACATCTGCATGAAGGAGTTTCCTCTCCACCAGGTCCAGTCTCAGACAGACTGGCCTCTCTGGGCAGCACTTGTTCAGCCAGATTCAGTGGGGATGTTAAATGGGTTCAGGCCACAGATGGCCACTGGAAGCTGTTATTACAAAGGGCCACAGGCCACTTGGAAACTTCCAGAAAGTGTGTGGAAGCAGATGACTAGGAAAAGAGGCATGGTCAGGCTCTCCCCTCAGCTTCCTCGAGGCTTGATATGACGTGATTGCCAACCTGGGGCGAGATCAGTTGACCTGAGTCCTAAGACCTCAGGGTGGAATGTGTAGTGGACACTAATTATGAGCTTTCTGTCTGTTTTTTCAGAAAACTGCAGTGATTTGCAGGACATGATGAATGCAGACCTGGCATGAGGATGGCTCATTCAAATGTAAGACAGATGGAGATGACACCTCTCGACCAGGGTCAGCTCTTAGATCACCTGTGGGGGAGGTAAGGGGTAGCAGTAGCTGCTCAAGGAGCTGCCTGTGTTTTCGGTGCCTGAGAATTAGGTAGCTAAATATTCTAATGGCCAGATGGGAACCAAAGCTCTTACACAGGTAGGATCTTCTAATTTTCAAAGATTTGATTTATGATGGAAACACTGAGACATGAGAAAGGCAAAAATATGCAAGGGATACTTTGGGATTTGTTATGCTTGTATCTAGATGAACCTCACCCTTTGCAACCTCAAAATTGCAAATGGCTTTTGCTTTGAGAAGAGAGCCCAGAGCTCCCTGCTGCAGAATGGTGGCAGTCTAGGGACATTATCCTCAGGATGGGTTTCATAGTGCTCAGCAGTCCAGAAAACAGAGAAGGAAAGCTGGCTACTGCTCCAGCTGGTGGCAGACCTTGCAGACGTCACTAGTTTAGGTGCATTCAAAATGCAAGAGTTGTGTGATCAGGACGGTCTGCCCAGATTTCAGAACGTCTGGGAGACCAGGTAGTGTGCCCCTGAGACAGCAGTGTGCGAAACTGTGAATGTAAAGCATAAAATGCACTGGAGACCCCTGAAGACTGCAGAGGCCAGGAATTTGGATCATCTGAGTGGGGAAAACTGCCAGGAATGAGCCAAGCCTGCCCATGCTGGAAGCCAGGAGAACTGCAACCACCTACAGTGCCATATGGTAGAGCCACTCAAGCCCTTGGGAGTTGACATCTCTTCTCACGGATTACACTGGATGCTGGACTGGGAACTATGGAATTTAATGTGTGCCATGCTGGGTTTAGTTCTTGCTTTCCCATTCCTTTCTATTCCCCTATTTTTACCTTCTGGATTAACAGTGTTTATCTTGTGCCATTGTATGTTGGGAGTGTGTGGCCCACTGGGCATCATGTCTACTTTGCCATAAAGGTGCATTACTGAGTGTATATAATAACTATTTTTATTCTTTAGAGTATTTCTATTGAACAATTATTAATTTTAATTTATTATTGTTTAATTTATAATTTATAATTGTTTAATATTAAACAATGAGTATGTAACAGAAAACAATAACAAAATGTAAAGTGATCTTTTAATATTTATTGTTTATAAAAAGACATTAAAATTTTGAATATCACATTTTTGGTGTCCAAAGTCTAAAAAATACCAGCAGAAATAAATTCCTGTGTGAACTACAAAGGAAATACCCATAGAACACTATAGCAAGACTAATTGTCTTCATACATGACAACAACATGTTCCATACACACCCATCGCTTACATTGCCAGCACCTGTGTTTTGTTTTCCTGGCCTTTTTGTATAACATATGCGACATCTTGCTGGTCTAGCTGTTCTGACAGGAAGTTCTTACTATATTATACATTGTGTAGTTAAGAGGAACATAAAATAGCAAGAAATAAAGTAGTAAATGCTTAACACGTATTGCCTGTTTAGAATAAACATCAACATTTTCATATTAGCTGTGTAGTTGCTTACAAAACATAAAAGATAGCATCAGGAATAAATTCCTGTATGAACTACAATGAAAATATCACTACAACTCTACCATACAAATACTCTTTGCTTCAGCTGTCACACCTAAGGCAGTCTTCACGCGTGACAGCTGCATGATCCACGCACACATCTCACACTGAAAGCACATGTGCTTAGCTGTCCTTTCCTATGTGGCAGCCATTCTTGTCACCGCTCTTGTCCTGTTTTTTCAGGAGTTTCCAAATATATGTATAATGTGTACTTAGCAGGAAAATAAGATATCAAGAAAATAAAATCAAATATGTGTGCTAAGAATAGACATCAAAATTTTCACATCAGCTGTTTACCTGCTCACAAAACCTAAAAGATGGTCTGGGAATATAGTTCAGCAGCACAGCACTTGCGTGGCAAGCACAAGATCATGAGTTCGATACCTGGTAACAAAAGTAAAGAAACCCTGAAAGATAACGTCAAAGGTAAAAAACCTTTGTGAGCTACAATGTATATACAAACAAAATCTACCACACAAATAATCTTTGCTTTGACTATTACACGCTACAGTCTTTACACATGAAAACTGCATGTTCCACACACAACTAATGCATACACTGATAACATGCGTTTTGTCTTCTCCTTTTCTGTAGGCTACAGTTGATGTCTTTTTGCATTGCCTCTTGTCATGGTAGGTCTTTGTGATGCTACACATGATCATCCACCTGTCAGCTCAGCCAGTATGCGCCACAATTTTTTTCATAGTTCCCTGAGTAGAAGCGTTTTGGTTTTCCTCTGCTGTAAATAATCTCTGATGAGCTCACGTACCTATCTTCTTTTTTATGTAACACTAAGTACATTTATTGGAAAAGGAGAAAGTTATGAAATATCCTCTTATGTTTCCTTAAGAAATTAAGAATAGAAGACAAGGAAAGCAAAAACAAACAGAAGAAAATAAAGATCCGAAAACGATCCCATATCAAAATGCCTACGTTTTCCATAAAAATTAACAATTTAATTCTTACATTTATGAAGAAATAAAAAAGACTCAGAATAGCCTAAATAATTTGGAAAAATGAAAAAATTAGAGTTTCAGCCCTCCCCAATCTCAACTAATCAAAAAGTTAAACCAGTCATGACCAAACAGCATTGATATCGAGACAGACAAACCACCAAGATGCCATATTGAGCCCCAAAATAGATACCCACATAACAGACAATTGATTTCTGGCAAAGCTGAAAAGCAATTCAGAGAAGAAAGGATTTTACATTCAATAAGTACACTAGAACAACGGATATCCACATACAAAAAAAAAAAAAAGTAACCCTAAAGAGTTCTAATTTTCCAAGGAAATTTCATCATGATATTTTGCACTGATTTCCCCCCAAAACTATTAAACTATTTATGCCACACATGTTTAGGATCAAGTAAAACACACCTTTGGCCATTGCTTTGTGTTTCAGGTGATGTCATAGTTGCTGCATAACTCATCAAAAGCACCTACCCTGCCTTTGGTTATGTTGGAGAAAGGTTTCCATCTCAGGCTTCTCTTTTGTTGCTGTTTCCCTATCAACATTTCCATCATGGTGCCATGTCAACACCAGCAATACCCGTTTGTTTTCCTTTGTCATGTGTGAGGCCAATGTTAAAACTTTCTGAAATCCAAACACTGTACTATCCAATTATCTGTTTTGAAAGTGCAACCTCTCGTGTGCATTTTCTGCTTTGTTCCTGTGTCCTGTTCCTACACTAGTCAACTTGTGTTCTGTTAGCAAATGTAACCTCAGTTGGGAACTGGGAAACCAGTTATCAAAAGTCACATTCTAACATCTTTATTCCATATTTTGAAGGTTTTTGGGGAATACACAACGTGAAGGTACAGCAACCATGAAATGCTAGGAGATGTTAATCAGTGCTCATGTGTTTAGATGGTGTGCGAATTGCTTGACAATTACCCACAAGTTCTCCAACAGTGTGTGGTTAGCGGCCAGATTATCAGTTCTCTTTGTTTCTTGGAGGGTGATTTTGGGCAAATTTGAAGGAAACAAATATCCTCAATGTCACTGTAATTCTAAGATAGATCCATCACTTTTTGTTAAGTCTTTTCTATTCCTGTGATGACCATGAGAAATTCCTGCTGAGTACAGCAGACCTTTAAAGGCTCTGAGTTCAGCTAATGAAGTGAAATAATAAATACATTTTTCAATATATCTATGAGTGCCTTCAGAATGTTTCACTGTACTTCAGCATTTGTGTGTTTTCACAACGTCTTGGCGCATTCTATGTGTTAGAAAAAATTTCTAATATTAAGTAGTAATGCTGGTGTTATCAGTCACATGGCAAGACTCTCACTATGTTTGTGGCCCTGCTTCTAACATTGGTTCTTTGGTATTTGGTTGTATGACTATTTTGTACTATTTTGGTAAGTCAAGTATGTCCTCACATTAGCGGCTTTGGTCATCTAAATCAAGGAGGTCTGCAATCCCTGTGTCTCTATTGATCAACTCTTGCTTCATTTCACTCTCATGAGATGTTTGGTTTACCTGGCCATCGTCAAAATCATTACCCCATTCATCTTACATGCATCAATGATTTGATGATTCACTGTTCTTTTGTTTTGTTTTGTTTTTGTGTTTTCTTTTTGGTTTTTTTACTTCCTCCAAAACTTACTTGTATTTCACAAAGCATTTTACTGAACTGGCTAACATCTACCAGAAAAATCAAAATAAACCCACTTTTCATTATGGTAAAGTAGTTGTTTACATGGCAGAAAAATGGGATAATTGTATTGTATCCCTTGTGATGCTCAGGTAAAAATACACAAGACTCATTAGATGGAGCATTGTTGTGGGTAAAAATCTCTTGGATTGCCTTGGATCTCTTGTTTGCCTGTGAACATATTTTGCCATGCATCCTACCATAAACAGAAAGAATGCTTTCTGTATGCCATAGGCACAGCTCCTGAGATGTACAGCCAGGTACTGTCACGCTAAAGTGCCAATTTACAGCAGATAATTATGACATGGATTTTTTAATCCAATGTTATGTCTCACAGGTTTAAATTTTTTTCCCAATTGTACAGGGGCTCACAGCTGAGAGTTTGCCTGAAATCTCTGAGGAGACTTTGGAATTGGGCTCTTCAGCAATGCTGAAACTGTTGGGATTTGGCAACCCTTAGGGGCTAAGCACCTTTGCATAAAGGGAAGTGCATGATTCTTTTGAGAACCTGGGCTTTTGGTCCTCTTCTGTTGTGTCAGTGCTTGGAGGTTGCTTTGTGCTCTTTCTCTACAAGAGTACCATCAGCCAAGCCTAGTCTACTTCTTAAGAGATCACAAGGCTCACAGACAAAACTGGCTCAGCTGTGTGTCAGTGGGCAGGCTGTGACCCCAGCTTTAGGGACCTCAAACAACACAAGTGTATTCTCTAATGGGTTGGGATGCCAGAATCTGACATCAGTGTCAAAGGTTGTAGCAGTCAGTTCTGCATCGATGTAACAAAATTCCCACAAATCATCTAATGATGAGGAAAGGTATGTTTTGGCTCAGATTTTTGGGTAGAAAGATCCCTTCTGTGATTTAGTGACCTGGATGTGTGGTGAGGTGGACATCAAGATGAGACACAGCATGGCAAGCAAACTAAAGTGAAGATGCACAGATTGGGTCCCTAAGCCCCTTTAAGGACTCACCTCTCAGTGCCTAGAAGCTCCCCTCTCACCACAGCCTGTCTCATAAAGGGTCTAGCATTTCCCAAGCCAGGGCCTTTAGAGGATGCTGATCCAAACCGTAACTACTGCCTTTGGTCTACACAAAGGCTTATGATCCTCTCACAGCACAAAGTAGAAACATAGACTTAAATGTTAGTTTTATACCTCGGACACCAGACTGCTATCTAGGATATATAGATGACTCAGAAAAATTAGACTCGGCAACAAAAAAAAAGACCCATTAAAAATGGATGACTGAAACAGACACTTCTCAGAAGTACAAATGGCCAATAATTAAGTGCAGAAACACTGGACATCACTGGGTAGTAGAGAAATACAAATTAAAACAATACCAGGATCAAACTTACTGCAGTAAGAATGGATATCATCAAGACATCCAATAATAACAAATGCTGGTGAGCCCTTCGGGTAAAAGGAGACCTTCAGTGTTGTCAGCAGAAATGTAAAATAGTACAGCCACTACGGAAGTCACTATGGAGATTCCTCAAAAGCCTAAAAATAGAAATTCCATTTGACCCAGGTATCCCCCTTCTAAGACATCAATTCAGTGATCCATGCATACCCACATTTACAGCAGCAAATTCACAAGAGCTTAATCTTGAAAGTAGCCTATATATCCATCAAGAGACAAACAGATAAAGAAAAATGGAATTTATACATAACAAAGCACTACACTAGTGTCGAGAAGGATAAATTTGCATCATTGTTTGGGAAGTGGATGCACCTTGAGACCATAATTGTAAATAAACTCAATCAGACACAAGCTTAAATATTGTACAGTTTTTCTCACATGAGAAATCTAATACGTAAACAAAGAGCAAAATGAAAGAGAGATAAAAGGAAACTGTGGGATAGATCTTTTGTGAAGAGGAAGGAGAACAAAAATGGAGGGAGGGGGAAAGGAAGAGAAGGAGACAAAAAATGAATTA